GTTGGCCTTCACGCATCTCTTTGAAAACACTCTTTGTGCAAACAGCAGTCAGTCCAAAAGAACATGATGGGTGTGAGAGTTTAAAACTGAAGCTAAATAAAGTCAAATGTTTAATCTGAAAGCTGCACAATTCAATTCATAAAGATTTTTATGAGGAACTCCAAAGTGTGTGACTTTATCTTCGTCAGTGTCTGACTGATAAACAGCAACAAGTTTGTGATTTCATGAACGTCTGAGAGAGCACTATCGCTGTTCAGCTATTTAATAGGCGCTTCTGTGTCATGGTTTGCATTTATTTGGACAGAGAAAACATTCTTTGACTACAGGATGTGTCAGCCAGGTTTCACTGCCAGGTGGGAACCCTCCTGCTTAAAGCTGTCAGCTTGTAGCTGAATCTGCCAGAAGGCATGTTACTGCCAGAGCCCAAAGGGATGACTAATGACCCTTGTTTATTGACTCGCCTGTTTCCAGTGCAGCAAAACTGCAAAAAAAATAAATAAATAAAAATGAAAAAAAAAATAAAATAAAAAAAAAATATATATATATATATATATGGGATGGGTGCAAAAGTCATTACTTAGGTATATAAATTGACTCTAAGTTTTGACACTTTCAAACGTGGATTAACTGGATTTGTGAACGATATGAACCATCAGTTCTGGATTAACATAAAAATGAAAAGCAATTTCCAATATTTTGTTCTCCTGCTGCTGCGTGTAGGAATGTGGGTTTCTGTGGAACTAGAAAGCAGAACCGTCGTGTTTTCAGTGCACATGTCGAGGCGTCCTCAGGCAAGATGATGAGATATTGTGCGCTTGCGTGTGTGGGAGTGGGTGTGTATAATAGAGAATGTCAAGAAAATAAAAGGCCAGTGAGTGAATGTGTGTGGGACTGGCTGCAATTGTAGAAACCCCAATGATAGCTTTTTTTTTCCTTTCTTTTTTTTATCAATTCAATTATTCCCACACATATTTATTTCCATTTAAAGAATCTAAGAAAATCTGTTTTTTTATGTTAATTTAAGCCAATAATATGTGAAATGTTTCCATTGAAAATGTATTATTTTGCTTTTTTTTCCAAAATTAAAAAGTCTTTTCCAATTGTGATATCTTTTCAAGGTTGTCACATTCTAGTCATAAGCAGGTTCTTGCTGTAAGCGATGGCTTTGAATCCCAATTTTCTCAGTCAGATTCCAAAAAAACTCAAATATTTTGTCCTTTTCACACTTAATATTCTCATTAAAAAAAAAAAAACATGTTTCCTGGGAAACTGATTCAAAGATTGATTTCTAAAGAACTCACGTGGTGAGATGAGGGAGATTCGCTTTCCAGATGGAGGTGGAGGCGTCAGTCAATCAACTGCACTTCACTTGCTTAAATCTTTGTATTGTTTTTTTAGCAAGGGAGATGAAAACAAAACAAAAAAACATGAAAGATTTAAAAATTAGATTAAAAGTGCATCTGTCAAGGTTGAAGGGTAAGAAGCTTGTTATATAAAAGAAATAAAATCTAAACCCGGCAAGGGCATGAGGAAAATTTCATGAACTAAAACCAGTGGTTGCAACAATTCCTTTCATAGATTGCTACAGTTCTTTTCATAAAACTGAAAAAAAATGGATGCATGGGTTTCGCAAAAAAATAAAGTAGAGGTGTATTTATAAAAATACTGTGTGAGTCGTAAAGCCACAGAGATTAAAATTATATTTTCTCTAACAAACCAAAAAGATCCTAGATAAGATTGTCCCTATTTAACATTCGCTGTTTTTCTCTCAAGGTTGTCGTGGGGCAGGATAAAGACATCCTGCTTCTAAGACATTCATTATTTCAAGGGTGAGTTTTGTCAACACATTTCTAGAACATGACTGCAAGGCCAATTCCTTTATTTCCTTCATGACACATTAGAACATTGTGTTAGTTTTGGCATTTCACTAATTGGAAGACGACGAATGGGGATTCTTTACACAATGTCACTGTGGCGTTAAATTTTAAAGTGACGTTGCCACAGTGAATGTTTTGATGTACTGCAGCAGCCATTGCAGGCGCTGTGACCTCCATTTGTTGTTTTTTGTTTGTCAATATTCTAGAAGAGCAAGAAACCCATTATGAGATAAAGATTATCTCCAAAAACCAGATTCAGACATTGAAAGCAGAGATGCTGATAATTTGATAAGCTGCTGGTTTGGAGACATCAATCTACCAATTTACTGCAAAAAGCAAAGAATGAGCTGGTTTTTCCATCCGCAGAGGCTTGAATATGTTTTTGCAAGTGCACTCAAAACCACCTGAAGTTGCCTAAGTTTTAGTATCCAACAACTGCAAACCATCGCAAAGTAGTGTGTGATTGTGAAATTAAAGTAAAATATTTCTGACAGGATTTCTAAAACAGTAAATTTGAAGGAGGAAACTTTTCTTAAAAATATGTTTTTGTTCAAATTAAATAAAATGAAACAGAGTATTTTTTTATTATTATTACTTATAATATATATATATATATATATATATATATATATATTATATATATATATATATATATATATATATATATATATCCTGTCTCATATCAAACTGTCAGGACATAGTCACAGTTTCATTAAATGTGTAAAAAATTGTTAACTTCTGCTGCATTAAACCAAGCAAAACAAAGGATGTAGCCTTCACAATGACCTATTTGTCAACAAATTTTGCAGCTATTCTCATTATTCAGTCAATTTTCCAACAAACCAATCAGATAATTCCCAGCTTAAACAAGTGAAAATATTATCACTTTTTTTTGCTCCCATCATTCTTTGTAAGGGAAATGAAAGTTGTAGCTGTAGAAAGGTTCACAGTGTCACCACTGTGCGCCAGCTGGATTCTTTAGCTCATGCAAATAAACCCAGGTAATAATTTTTATTTGGAATATTTTAGATAACTGGGTTTTGCCACAGCAAATCTGAACGAATTATCCTTCATCTCCCCAGACTCTTTCTGTTATTGTTCCTGCTTTAGCGCATCTCTGTAGAGAGTTACTCCTAACTATGTATTTCCACATCTAAAATAAACTAAGTTTTCTTTTCCAGCATACTGAATATTAGAAAAAAAACTGTGTTTTATTGTAGCTCTGTTGGAGTGTGTGTTGACACATCGACATGTCAACCAGCGGACCGATGTGAGCCCAGCAGCCCGTCCTCTGAACATTTCCTGGAAAAACATGAATCACGAGCAAAGAGATGGAGTCCAACATATCTCTGCTTGTTTGTTTTCTGCAGCACAGCTAGCTGCCTTCGGGAACATAGAACAGCAACATCTTTTTTACCCACTACTTCATAGGGTTGTAATCAGTTGTGTCTTTTTTTTTAGCAAAAGTTCACTAGCAACCTTTAGCAGAGCATCCGCACCAGTAAGAGGAACAAAATGGTGCCAGTGTTTCTCAGATGTGCAGGTCAGTGACAGGCAGATTACGTAGTACTCTACAAATAAAATCTATGTTGAAATGATTTACAGCTCAGATTGCTTGCCCACAGAAACAAATGTTGTGCCTGAAAGGACATGTGAGAGAAATTCATAAATCTGTGGGATTTGTCATGAAAGAAACAAATGTACAGAACGCAGGAGGGAATAAACATTTGCTTCATAAATTCATTTAGAATGCATATGTCATGAAGCATTTAACTTTTCCTACGGCAAAACATTCAGAAATCTTACTCAACAGGTTCCCATAAAAGTTTATTTAGATTTTCGTTCCTGGTATTTTCTCTACCAAAGCAACAAAGTGAGATTTCGTAGAATGATGTATCCTGTATCGATGGGGAGTCACACATCTGCAGAAAACCACGAACGCACAAAAATAGCTTCCTTTACAACATTATCTGTCTAAATGTTCTCACCAGGTTTCAGTTTCATATTTGACTCACACCCTGAGTTGAGGCTCAATCCAGAGTTTTGATGTTTTCCTACAGGCAACAACATTTATTCTGAAATCCTCCCACTGCTCGAAGTTTCCTCCCTGAGGTTTCTCCTCTTTCCAAGGTGATGGATGACATGCTGAGGGGATTCATAAGAACAGACGTCAGCAAACGTCGCAGCAATGATAAAATGTTTGATTTTATGTTCAAGTGATATAACATATAGATCAGCTACAATAATGTGCACTTTTAATTCACTTCTCTCAATAAGCAAATGCATCTGTGACATGATGAAATATTGCATTTCCGAATTTCCCTTCAGGCTTTGAATGAAATGCATTTATCCATAAGCGACATCTCTGTCGGACAAAACGTCGTGCGCCTGTCTGAGTTTGTGTGATTGAGTTTGGAGTTTCGTATTAAGTTTATTGTTACATTACATCCAAAGCTTAGAAGATAATCAATTCAAAAGAGCAAAATATCAAGATGTTAAACTGCATGTCAGTTGCCAGAAAAATCAAAGTAAAGGAAGCATACAAAGGAGAACAAAACAATAAATCCACCATTACTGCTGCAGCCGGAAAAGATGGATAAAACCGCAAAAAACCCCAAAAAGAATTCATCTTCATCAATCTAATAAAGACAAAAATACAGATGTGTGAAAAAAAAATCAAGCTTGTGTATGCGCTGCTCAGAACCTCCTCCTTGCCCTCTGCTACGCTACAGCACAGTCTGCCATGAATGCTAAAGCTAGTTAGCATGGCCACCAGGTCAAAGTTTTTCTGTAATGGTAAGTAGTTTCTCCACCATTACCACATTTAGCCACAGAGGGGACTGCAGATGATGGAGGTGAAAGGTCACAGTTACTAATATGATGTTTTACAATCATATCGGTTGGGTTGGTTATGTTCATCTTGGCCAAAGATCAGAATCAGTTACCCATTAATCATGAATGTCACCAATTAACTGCCTCATACCCACGGAGAGGCCACGAGTCTGGAAAGTAAGGCCTCAGATCAAGATGGTTTTTCTTTATTTAAATAAAGAAAAACTGGTTTGATTTAGAAACACTCAAATAAGATCCCCAAAAGACTACAGTAAAAATCTGAAGACACAGTTTGAATTAGTCCTTTAATTCTCAAATTTATTAGTGAAAGATCTACAATATTAAAACTTACTGACCCATCACTGTCCCAACAGTTTCACTTCAGTGAACGTAAATACAGTAGATGACACAGGTTTCATCCTGAGATGAAGATAAAAACCTCTCAGGTGCATAAAACAGGACAATTCACATGTAACAACACTGCCCCCTACAGGGCAGATTACTATAAGGCAGCAAGACTTGAGCAGGAAAGCAGGCACAGCTACAGAGGGAAGATATTCTTTACATCTTACACCTCATGAGTGAAAGAGACAGAAACATATTTGCAACTGGATTCGTCCACATTTTCAGTTTGAATATTATGAATCTTGAATTTCATCCCTTTGTTAAAAGCAAGTCAGTCAGTGTTATATCAAGTTTTAAATGAAGCATTTTAAAATCAATATTAGACTGAAGGAGAGCTGTTTAAAGCAGTATTATGTAAAATTATGTATTTTGCAGGCACATAGTGTCACTTTATATGATTATGTTACCTTTAGTTGTTACAAAAATGCTCTCTATATATACTGAGAATCACTTAATTCGACTTTGCAATAAAACGCATTGAAATTGGTTTTTGTCTCTTTAAGAAGCTCCTGCTCTTTGACACTCTGCCTTTAGCAACTCATCACAGCAATGTTCCTCTATCAAGCCTTTAAGAGTGTTAAAAGGAGCATTGCTCTGAAAAGTAGTTTGTATAATGAGCTCAGCAGATACGGTGTAGTTCCACCAAGTGTTTGCTAACTGCTGCTGGCTAGTCTGAAGGAGCTGATTGAGAGAGTCAAAGAGGGTCCAGAGAGGAGCTGCATGTAAAAGGCAACATTCTGCGAGAGAAATCGCTTTGTACCCTGAAATGGTTGACGTGGGAGATTCAAACATTTCTTTATCATACACGGAAGAATCAAGGCAGCATGCGAGGTATGTTTTTGACAAGTGATTATCATTATAACGTAGTGTAATGCCGAAAAACTGGATCTATAAAAATATTTTTTGTATATTATCAGATGTCTTCATGCATTTCAGACTTAGTCCACATGTAGTCAGATATCTGGGGTGAAAAAAAAATATGCCTTTTGGTCTTTCATCTACAGGAACTCTCAGTTTAATATCACTAAAAACAATTAGTCATAAACTCCAACCAAGGTGGACGAATAATGTGACAGTAAATCCACGTAGTATAATTTGTTTGACATCATTCGTAACACTGATTTGTTTGCTTAACTTTATAATCTAGTACTCTAAATGTATTTCAACATCCTGGTGCTTGCTTAATTCCAAACAGGAAGTTGTGGTTGTTTTGAATCCATCTGATTGGCTGAGACAGGTTTTAGCTTTGTGCTACACTGCCCCCTATAGGTTTGGCATGTGTAAAACATGCCAAACAGCTTTGTGCAAGTTGATGTGGTTGAAAACCTTTCTAAACCCAATCCTGTGTGCACAATATTAGTTTTTTTAAACAATGTGGTGAAGATATTTGCTTTTAAAAAGACCCGGCTCCATGTGGAGAAAACCTCAGTTTTCTTTTAACTCGCTCTGTGTAAAAAGTGATCCAAACAAACTTGGTCCTCTCCGTGTTTAGATGGGATGTGAAATGTGACAGTGGAATGAATTAAGGAAGCAATAGAAAGAAATTGATTACAGTTTAATCAGTCAGTGTTTTGATTTTGTAAAAATATTAATAAGGGAACAAAAACAAAATAATTTATACTGAATGCATTTTATCAACACCGCTGTTTGCTCACTGGTTGCCGAGGGAATATAAACAGGCGTTTTAGATTTATGGCTTCGTAAATCCATTATAGATTGGTCAGATGGGTACTGATAAAGCTATGCTGCATTTGTTTACAACTTCTGGATGATGTCAGGGTCTGTTGATAAAATCTAAATTGTTTTAGAGAAGTAAGCCTTGCTACTATAGTTTGCAGTTATTCCTCACTTTGTGTCACTTCTGAAATAATCACAAACAACTAATAGATTAGATTTTAGGTCAAATTAATAAACAGCACGTGATTTGGAATTAGTTGAAGTTAAAATTTTGCCTGCGACCAACAAATACGATCTGAACTCGGTTTCCACAACTACATCATAATTAAACAATTAAAATAATCTGACACATAATTAATATTCTATTGATGTTATTAACCTCAATCCAGCAGCTCTGAATCTGTTTTTTCCCCCCATTCCTGGTGTGAAAGAGCAAGAGAATGACCAGAACTGTTGGTTTTCGGTACAAGTCGTGTAAATCCACTTGTAGGAAGGAGGTAGAGAAAAAAGGAGAGGGAAAGCACCATGACGAACTGTTCCCTTCTTTCCTCGTGAATAATGAGGAGCAGGATGAAGAGGGAGGACATGACTGGCGGTGACGGAGCCAAGGAGCGGATCAGGAGATGATGCGAATGCCGAAGTACTTCTTGAGTTGCTCCAGGAAAACAAAGGTGAGGACTGTATGGGGAACCAAGCGGATCCCGGCTGGGACAAGACCCTGCAACAAAGTCAAAGGTTTTTAATTTCTACACTTTGATCTGATAGTGGAAATCACTACCGACACGAAATGCAGCACACAGAACAGAGTAAACATTCGGTGTGAAATGACATCAGCAAAACCAGCAATAACTGGCACACACAGTGAGGTGTAGCGAATGTGTTCAAAAATTCACTCATTGCATTTAGACTTATCACACACAATGTTCTGTCTTTCTTTTAATTTCGATTATTTTGGTTATAATGAATAAAACCCAAAATTCAGTTTCTCTAAGTATTAGAATATTGTACAAGATCAATAAAAAATTTTTTATCTTTAACACAGAAATTGTGTTAACACGACGACAAGCTTTATTCACCAGCAGGATATGGCTTCTGCTCACACTGCCTAAACTACCTATACCTGTCATAATGACCTTGGTATCAATAGCCACCTAATTATCTCAACCTAAACCACACAGAGAAGCGGTTTGACCTTTATAGCTATTAAATACACATCTAAAATGAGATTCATGATGTATTTATATCATATGTTGCCACCATCATCCAGGTCAGAGTGATTTTCTATTTTTCTATAAATGAGACTAAATTGTGTAGGACTATTTTTCCTTTTACCTTATAAAATGCCAGTGGACCCAGTTTGGCTGTTTCCCGTAAGCAGTGCATCACTCCCTGCAGACATGAGTGAGAAAAATATTATTAAAGTGAGTTTAAAATTCTTGTAGAACAGGAACATTTAGGTTTTATTATTAGTGAGTGAGGAGCACTCATTACTTTTACAAATTTAGAGCATACTTAAAGTCCAGAGGATACCTACTTACACTTATGTAGCAACCCAGAACAGGGAGTTACCATTACCTTTAAACTGAAACCTGAACAAACAGACAACAAAATAAGTGATTCACTTACTGTGTACTCTCCTTTTGAATTCATCAGCCTGGTTTTGAGAACATCCAGAGGCTGACACAAGAACGTAGCACAGCCTCCCTGCAGAGGAAATATTTGAGAGGAAAAAAAAAATAGACGGGATTTAAGACGGGATTTAGAAGACGCTCTGCAAACTGCATTAAATCAGTGGAAGAAATTCTTACCGCTATGAAGCTGGAAAGGAAGTGTGTGAGTATATTGTCTCCCATCACACCTGTTCCCAACACCAGCTGCTTGGCCTGGTCATAACATGCCAACTGCAAACAGAAATAATATATATATAAAAACAATTTGGGTAATGTTAAGTTTATCTTATGTTTTACAAAAAAAAAACCCTAAGTAAGTCAGTCTGATCCAAAACACAAAAGAAGCTTTTGATCTTTAAAAAAAGTCTACACCTTTCCGTCTCTGTTGCATCAATGTTTAGCTTCAGGAAACCATCGTTAATCACTTAGAAGAATACTTTGTGAAAACGTAACATGTAATTTTTAATGCGACTTGCCTGCCCCACAGTGACCAGCGCCCCCCTGCCAGATGCCATGGAGGCTCCTGAGAACAGCCTTCTTACACCCTCTGTATGAAAAAATAAAGACAAGGGGCCTCTTGAACTTTTCTAAATTTTTCCCTACGCCAAGTTTTAGTGTGAAAACTGCGCACTCTTTAATGCATGAGGCCCCAGACCTTGATTGCGATGCCAGACGATGCAAAACACAAAGTGAAAACTTGATTTCGTGCTTGTCATTTACCTTCTCTAAAGACTCTGTAGAGTCCATCAACGGCATGTTTATAGCTGCAAGCAAAGCACAAATACAGTGATAAATTACGTGAACACCAATCAATACAGAGCATCGTTCAACCCCAGCACTCACTTTCTCCTCTGTTCTGGTGGTAGCTTCACGTCATTTTGCATTCTAGGAGGGCAAGAAAAAAAATTATTTCAGATGTCATTTATCTTTCCGGCTAATACCATAATTCATTAGCAAAATACACAAATATTCTTGTTTAACGGGAATGTTGTCAGGCATGTTCACCTGACATTCACCAAGTCTGATGGAGTCCCAACAAACCCACCAGTGAATCCTGTTGGCAGATAAAACGTGTTGGTAAACAGCCCTTCACAGGTATCATTTGGGTCAGCATGTGTGTGTGTGTGTGTGTGTGTGTGTGTGTGTGTGTGTGTGTGTGTGTGTGTGTGTGTGTGTGTGTGTGTGTGTGTGTGTGTGTGCGTGTGTATGTGTGTACCTCCAAATGCTCCCAGCAGGACCTTCTGGTAAAAAGGCATCGGCCCCTTGCCAGTGCTCCCCATCATGTCTCTGACTGTCTCATAGATGGCAAACCTGGTGAGGGAGTAGGTAATCTGAAAAGCAGAAACATCAACTCAATCACTTTTTTTATCCAAAGGAAGAAGTCTGGGCCCAAGTAAGCTGGCGATGCAACCTCGAGCGATCTGTGGAAGGGAGACAGATTATCTTAGCATTGCAAAGCAGGTTTGCATTCGCCAAGTGAAGCATCATGGTTGCTTACACCGTTGTATTCATGTTTCTGGGTTAACACATGACCATGATAATCGTATTTTAGTACTTTAAATTCAGATATTTTTTTCATTTTAAAGATTAAAAAAAATTACAAATTCTATTTTTATACATCTTAAATAGAATAACAATAAACCTGCACCCTAACAAGCTCCAGCTTTTATCTCATTTATTAGTCATATCTCCTTAATGAGATTATAATAGAGCAATAATACAGACAAACATAATAAAGTTATGTAATTTAACAAACTAGTATGTCTCCTTCCGTGGTGGTGTCAGGAGGCCACTAGGCGGTGCTGTAACCCCCACTGGGTAAGTCATAGTACCTCGGTTGGTCTGTGTGGTCTCTGACAAATAAAAGCATTTTAAAACAGAATAAATTCTGCTGTATTTGTCCAACTTGTAGCAATTATTCCACTGTTATTCTGAGGCACAGTGGTGGCAGAAATTTTACATTTAATTTCTGACAGAAAAATTTAATCTGATTTATACAAAATAAGCAGACTATAAAAGTAGTATAAAAGTAGATGAAACGCTCCTGATGAGGAGCGTTGAAACAACAGCACAATGTGACCTGATGCCTCCTAAAAAAGACAGGATAGATTTATGTTTTCAGGCTTTTTCTGACTCCATCATCTGATTATCCCAGCTTAAACCAAGGCTCACTGAACCAGACAAACTTTTTCCAATCTGTCATTGTCCAATTTAGGTGAGTGTGTGTGAGCTGCAGTGTAATTTCCCTGCTCTTGACGGGAGTGGCACCCGGTGTGGTTTTCTGCTGCTGTAGCTCATCAGCTGACTTTATTGGTGACTGTTGAAGATTTGTGCGTTCAGAACCGTACAAATAAATGAGCCCTTCACAGCATCCTCAGTAATTGTTGCTGCCTAAAATTACTGATTTTGTGGCAGCTTTTCCAAAAAGTTAGTCAAAGTTGCAGAAAGTTGTTAATGTAGGTATTTTATTTATTTATTTATTGCCATAACATATTCTTATGGGGAAAAGAAGTTGAATTGCTGTGCAGGACTTTCCCTTTCCTTCTCTATTTCTCATCAGGTTATAATCCCTCCTTACCTGAGAAGACCCTGCATCATCATCCTGCTGCTGGCCTCTGGTCTAATGTCTCCTCCCTGACCTTTTGCTCTTTCTATTATGACAATAAAGATTTGTTTTAAATCAGTGGAAAGCAACAGTGAGCACAAGTTCTGAAAAAAAAAAAAATGAAAGAGGATTGGGTTTATTCCTGACATAAACTAACAAGCAAGGGATGTAAAATAGGCAACAACATTAATATTCTTATTAATAAACTTAATAGGATATGCTAACAATCATCATTTATTTATTATTTAGCTTAAAAAAAAAAATCTACCTGTCGACACAGTGAGGCGGAGAGGCCATTGTAGAGAGCCAGCACCCCATCAGTCTTCACCACATGCACAGCCATCCCAATCATCCTCTTCTTCACTTCCTGCTGTGTCTGCAGGTGGACCTGAGAAAAAAAAAAAAAAAAAAAGAGAGCCATCTGTTGAAAAGAATTAAAACCCTCACACATTGATTTAGAGTTTAGATACAAAACTCTAATCAAATAGGGTTTTCTAAATTCAACTGTTTTCTTTTAATAATAAAACACCAAGATAAATGTTATTTTCCACGTTGTTCTTCATGAGGTCTTAAAGAAACCAAAAAGGAAAAGGAAATCATGCCATGCACCAATCCTCTCGGTGTTGTAGCAATCTCTGCTTGTTGGAAGAGGGCCTCAGTGGTTTCAAAACATGACCTTTGTTCTTTGTTTTGATGAGGACCTCAGATTAATGGTCAGTGACCTTTCTGAGACAATGTGGTTTTTTCCCCACACAATGCTGATCTCAGTAAACTGGTTTGTGTTTCGGTTCAACATTTAAATCGCTGCAGCAGCTTCTGTCAAGCACTTCTTTTGTACCTGAACATTTTCAAGTCAGAAATGTTGAAATTGAAGTCAGTTTCCAAATTGTATAGTTCAAAGTTCCTCACCAACTCTACCTTCACAATCTAAAATGGATGCTGATTTAGTTACATCTACTAAACAACATGTTGCAACAGTGTCTCAAGATGCAAAATAATGAGGAAACACATTGATTAGTAACAGATTTTGCAAATCTAAAATTTTCAGATTTTGGAACAAAGGTAAGTGATAAAATTTGGTTATCAAATATGACTTGTGACATAATTTATCACTACCAATCCATCACCCTGTGCGGTAGCAGAAGAGGAGACAATAAGTCGTTGGTTTTTCAGCTATCAAATGTAAATTATTAGGATACTGTTGCAAAACATACAAGCGAATCTTGGTTAACATGGTGCTGCACTCAATTTCTTCTACTTGTGTCTTTCTATGAAAAAAAGTTTTATGGAGGTAAGTTGAAGAAACCTGGATTTTTAAAGCTTCACTTGCAAGACTGAAAACAAGCAAGTAGAACAAAAAAAGCAGGAAAAGCAGGAAGGTACAGAATGACTTAGCAATATCTTGATCACCGACTTCACTTCATTTCAATTCAAGTATAAAGAGAATCGAATTTAAAGAAACCAGTGAAAAAAGTAGCTCTGAAAAAAGTCAAGTTCTTTTTCCGTTTCCCCGCTAGAGAAAAATCTGATATTGTCACAATTATGCAGATTAATTCGGTAAGTTTCGATCAGGGCTCAGATCAAGCTGTAAATTGACACATTTTGAGAGGGAAATTTATTAAGTAATGTTTTAAATAAGTCAATCAATTTGACTATTTTATAACTATTTTTTAAAAAATCAGAACTGGTCCTGTCCTAAATTAAATTTTTATGTCAGTGTTTGCGCCGTTGCCAAACCGCTTTGTAACTTAAAAAACACTAAAACAGAGGAGGTCAAACCTGTGTTTGCTTATTTCCCCAAATCTGGTTCTATGTTTTCATGAAAGAAAGCATAACTATTGTGGTCTTTGCATCGCCAAAACTGGACTTTTCAGCTATGTGGAAACAGTACACATTGCAGTTTCCACAGAGAAAATGCTTCTCTGTGCATTTTGCTCAGAGAAGTGCAAAATGCAATTTTCTCCATTATGGGAGCTCATTCAGTTTTCACTGCATAATGTCTTTAAACCAACTAGATGTCTGAATATTTGTTGCAACAAAATGTTATTCACTCTTGGAAATCCATTGAAGCCAGAGATGAAATAAAAAGCCTTTTAAAAGTCTTCTTTATGCTGAAATTGAACACTGCTGGCACTAAACCTGGATTGTGCACGTTTTGATTATTACATAGATTGTTATTTAAACTCTTGAGAACACAGCAGTGAAGTTTACATTTGATGAAGATGAATTAAAGCCGTCTCACACTAATCCCAGAGTTAAACATGAAAAACACTTAGCAGAAAGACATTGCTAATGATATAAGGAACTATGCAGTACCGACCTTTCATAAATAGGCAATTTACTGATACAGTGAATTGCCAATTATAACAGAATTATAACAGTGAGTTATAATTTTCATCATCTCAGCCAGCTGACCTGCAGTGCACGCAGCAGCAGGTAGGGGAGGGGCAGTAATGTCCTCACTCCAAACTAGGCGTCATCTAGCTACTAGAATGGAGTTTTACCAAGGTTTTGATAAATTTTAGATTTAAAGCAATTAAAATGTTGAGTCATGGGAGGCTCAGTGGGTAAATGGCCTGTAAATGTACAGAACTTTGTCAAGTCCACATGAACCCGAAAGCATTCACACTCCATTCAGTCACACACACACATTCACGTGCAGAGAGTGTGTGTGATAGAGCTCTCTCCTCCCCATTCCCTGTCCAGTTACTGCTAAACAAAGACCACCAGTGCCTAAAAAGAAAAAATACACCTAACATTTTCTGTCACAAAGTCCCTAACGATTTTATCGCTTTTTTAATCACAGGATCCGGTTCAGAGACAATTTTACTAAAAAGACAATTCATGCAGTTTGGAAACCGATCCAGTTGTACCCGTTATACTTGTTTCAGTCAAAACCGAGCAAACAAAAAAAAAATGCAATAGCAAAGATTTAGGATTTTGCTTAATCACAAAATCCTAAATCTGTAGGTTCTTTACCAAAATGTTTTTCTTGAGTCTTTGTGTGAACATTTTAATAAACTCATGGTATGGATTACACTATTTTAGGCACTTGATATAACTATTTCACCATTAGAAATATTTGCATATTTTCTGTTTTAAATCAAAGCAGATATAAAATGCCATACATTTTCATATAAATACTATGATGCTACTGTGTTTTTATTTAAACCAGTCCATGCTTTCTCCATACAGTTAGAAAAGACTGGTCACTTTTTCAGTTGCAGTTGTTTGAAACCCCTCGCTTTTTTAACCTTGACCCCAGTAAGCGGCTCATGCTCTCCTTTTCTTAAAGTAATGAACTTTTACATTTCTGAAGCATGTGCTCTGTGTGTAAAACCACACTTTCCAGCTTTGCCACATGCAAGCAACAAGTCAGGCATTTCAGAGAGCCGTTCAACTGCAGCCTGGTGATTACCTTTACTCCCAGTATAATTACACAACACATGATTTCCTGAGCGCCACAAACTTTATTCGAGTCATGTGTAAAAGTCTCTGGAGAAACTAAAGAGGATTCAGGCATTTGGTATAGATTAACAGGACTACTGTGTCTGGGAAACTTTGGGTTGACCTATGACCTGGATTCAACTTTGAACATCCTACTTATTACAGAGAAACTTAAGATCTCAGGACGCTTACGGTGATCTCTGCGGTCTAGCAGGGGCACTATGAGAACCCGTCAAGACGTGAGGTTTGGTGAAACACGCTGGCAGAGTCAGCGGGAAGCCAGCTGTGCCCTGCTGTTAAGGCCTGCACTTCTCCTTCACCCCGTGGGAGAACCACTGCGCCCCTCACCTTGACGAGATCCAGAGGATGGGTGCAGCATGCGGCTCCGCAGGAGGCCAGCCCCCCGAAATACCACCGCGACATCCGTTTCTCAGTCATGATAACGCCGGCTCCACTTCCACGGCGCTGGGCTCCCTCCAGCCGGCTCGCCGCGGCCCTCTGTCCGCCCGCAGCGCGTGGCTCTGCTCAGACCCGGAGCTTCCGGCGAGTGTAACCCACAGGACAACCTCGTTAGACTTCAAACATGCCGATAAATAAAGGAGAGCGGGGGACTTTTCACGTCGCGAGAGCAGCGTGCACGCGAGAGCTGAAGCTCCGGTGTTGCGGCGCAGCAGGAAGCAGCTGTGACACTGAGAGAGAGAGAGAGAGAGAGAGAGAGAGAGAGAGAGAGAGAGAGAGAGAGAGAGGAGCCCAGCCAATCAGCCAATTGTCGGTGCGGACGGAGGAGCTGCCTCCCCGCTCGGTGAAGCTGAACACTGAAGGTCAGCAATGTAGTATGACAATGCAGAAAATGTTCTGCACACAATAGGCCCGTTTCCCCACTTTTAGCTGTCATGTGCTTTTAAAGTGACACCCGTCCTCTCAGATGCGACGCGGCTGACAAATGGGAGCTCTGTCCCTTTAAGAGGGCAACTGTTTCCAGGAGAACAGAAAGTAACCCTGAAAAATGGGGTTGGTGTTCAGTGCTGCTCCGCTTGCTGTGTGAAAGTAGTTATAATTTCCAGTAAACGCAACTAAAAATATTAAATAAGTGACTTTAGTGAGCTTTTAAAAATGTTGTGCAAATTTTTAAACGCTGGCGCCTAAAGATTGGTTCCTTTTTAGAGGCTGGCTTGATGAAGAGTCGTCAAAGTGATTGATAAGTGGTCGATCAGCTTCTGTCCTGAAACGTTTGCATTGAACAAGTTAGTCTTAATCTACGAAAAAGTGCTTTATGTATCCTGAAAATCTGATTGAGAGCCAGAAGCAGTGTGAATACTTTTCCATGTTTATCCTTTAAACAGTAGGCTGAGAGTGATGCGTGGGGTCAACATCATGTGGAATCACGACAGGAGAGACAAGGGGGAAAAAGTACTTGAAGTTGTTCAGAAAAGGAGAGACAATTAGATTTCTGAAAAATAAATCAAAGATTTTTGTATATTGCTCACGTATCGCTGTGTTATGCTATGGTAAGGCGGGACAACAAACAGGGAACAAAACAAAAACTTGGCTCACACTGGTTCTGTAGAAATGTCTAAATGTTTCATCCTTTCACTGTTGTCATCCAATATTAACAGTGAAAAGAGCATTTATTTTTAAACTTGTAAAGATTTTATGTATGTAAAGTTTGTTTTTAACAAACATTTTCACTTTGGCTTCTTTTTAAAAAATAAATAACTACACATTGGAGTACATGGTTTAGTTTAGTTGAGATCAGGTGAATAATTTTCAGCCCTGGTAAAAAAAAAAACAAACAACAGAATTGATTGACCGTGTTCTTTCTTTGCACCATGACTTGCATTCTACACTTTGCATGCAAAAGCTGGCATGTGCTGACACGTGTGGCTCTTGCTCATCTAAAAGTAGATCACATGCAGGTAGGCCGTCGTTATTCTCTGATGTGATCTGAGTTGAGCAATAGAAAATGGACTTGTGTTAAATCCACAACAGACGTAGGCGTAAATCCCAGGAGGTGGGTGGGTCCGGACGCCCCCCCAATCTTGGAAAAATCTAGAATTGCCCCCTCACTGTCTTCAACGTAGAGCCTTTAAAACCACAAAATGAAATCTGAATATTTTTATATATAAACCCTGGTGCTTTAAGTGTTACACTTAAGTTATAATACCCGCCAGAGATTCATTTCTATCTACCTGTTGGTTCTCTGTCACCAAGCACACGATAAAAATAAAAAAGGCTTCAAAATAAAGCAACTTAAGTTATAATTTAAATCACCCATAACTTGTATTGGGAGCCATTACAATAAATCAATGTTTATGAGGACTTTTATTAAGAGCAGTTCCTCATTAAAGCTTTTTTATTTAAAACCTTAAATTGTTGTAAAGGTGTAGCAGAGATTACATCAGTGAGACTGAACAAAACTCGTATAGCAGCAACATTTGAATTTTAGTTTTACTTCTCAACAGGTTGCTTACTTAGAAAAACACATTTGATGTGCATTACGGGTCATTTTTGGTCCTGCAACTTGAATGTTACATTTCAGTGGAAACTCACCAACCCCCCCAAAATTGCTCTTGAGAAATTTTCCTGTTTATGGTTCCACCAATAATGAGATGGGATTTACGCCCTTGACAACAGAAGAAGAAAAGTCATTGCTGTTCCAGAAAGAATCAGATGACTGAAACACCAAAATGACCACATACTTCATAATTTATCCAGTTTTGTGTAAAGTTTAGGTAGAATATATTTTTAACTAAACATTATTTTAAGAAGAATAAGGCTCCTGATTATAACTCTAAAACAGATTGTTAGTGTCTGCTGCCCCCTACTGGAGTCTTTGTGTTATCACAACTGATCACAGTTCAAAATCTAAATCTGAAATTGGGATCTTTTGGAGCTAATTCTGTTAACTTACTTTAATAGTAATTAAATGTATTTCACATATATACTTGAGTCATTTTGCACATGTGAGGGGAATTTTTGAAGCAACCGACAAAGATGTAACACAAATTATGTAAATTGTTAGTGTTAATGGTGCATGACACTTTACTTCTGTTTTTACTTTGGGTCAGAAAATGCACAGCATTATGATTATATGTATTATATTATATGTATTTGGACATTTTGAGCTAAAAGTGCTGCTGTTTAGCTTTTGAATTACATGCATGATCATGACAAGAAGCAGCAAACATTTGTGTTTGCTCCTTAGGTCCCAGACATTTTAATCATCATGGACATAAATATATTAATAATTTGAGGCTTTTAACAAAATAGACAAATAATCTACTTTTCAAGGTTTTCTATACCCTCTGTTGTTTTAGAAATGACAAAGAAAAATATGGATTAATCTGAAAATTTGCATCAAACTGCAAAACACTCAATATGTCAAATATTTTACCAAAAAAAAAAAAAAGAAACACTTCCAAGATTATAAATACATTACAGCACACTATTACTGCACAATACAAGCATTTGTATGGCCTTGTTGCTAAATATGTGCTACTGTGCACTGTGTTTTACACTTAAGGTACTTAAGGTATTTGCTAGATGAAGCAACATGACTTATTCTGCACAAAATCAAGTCGTTGCTCTCCAATTTCTTAGTCATGAAATCAAGAAAAACAAAATTTATCTGGGATACTGATTACTTTAATATATAAAAGTCAAAGAATACAAAAGCATTTTTTTATTTGCTTTATTATGAGAATAAATCTGGTCAAAATAAAAAAAAAATCATCAAGAAATAGTTCAGCTTCAGAATGCTTTTCATAAACAGAGAGGAACAGCAACTGTTGAACAAAGAAAATTTTTTATTAAGAATAAAGGCACATTACAAAGATAAGGTGACAAAGAAAAAAGTAAACAGAGTAAATACTCACACATACTTTCAACAAAAGCACCAGTGCAAAGTAATGCACAATGCACACTGGCCTTTAGTACACATACCACCCACACGCAAACACACATGCACACACACAAACACACACACACACGCAGGCAGAGGCAGAGGGGAATCTGAGAAATGTGAGCCACACGCATTAGTGACCATTAAAGCTTTTAAAATCCTCCCCCGGTTCATTTCAACTCCTACTCCAACACAAAGCCCTTAAAGTCAGAAAACCTTGTTTATGTGCATTAATATTTCTAACATGAAATATGCAGACATTCCAAAAAATGTTTGTACTTTATCCAAATTTTAATTTAAAATAATTTCCATTCAAGTAAGTATTTTTTATATTTTTTTATATAGGAAATGAGGCTTCTCTGAAAATATAAAAATGTGAAAAAAAAAAAATCAATTAGAAAACAAACGTTTTTGTTTACGTTTAAATAAAAAATGGCGTGTTCAAAAAAATAGTGCATGTTTCCAAGTTTTTGATGTTGGAAGGCTTCATAGCCATCACCCTAATTTTTAGGATGGGTCTCTGGTCGGGTTGCAACAAAACATTAATATTACTTCAAATCTTAAGTCTGCCAGGAGTTTGAATAATTCTGAGCTGAATTGTAGATTACAATCTAATTTGCACATATCTCCATCCTAGGCAACAGTGTTAGTAAGACATAACTCTAAAGCTTTAGTACTGCTAAGAAGCCCCTTCTTTGACTGCAGGTAGAACAGGACATGAAATCAGTCGTTTTTTGGAAGAAATGCAACTGAGCAAATAATACTTTTATAGATGTCAATTTTAAATCACGTAATCGTAAGGGGTTTAGGTGTCCAACAAAGTGATCTCATACAAATGACTTTTCCTGCTGCTTCACTTCTCCTGCTGCCCGTATGGATGGGCTGGGCTTTGCTGCGGCCCCAGATACGGGCAGCGTTCTTCCTCCCGGCGCAGAGGAGCCGACGTGAAGCAGAGCTCCCCCCAGCAGGAGGAGCACGCTGGCCACCCAGCCCAGGTACAACGCAGGCCCCAGTTCTCTCTTTAAAGTTGCTGCAACATTTGGATCATAAAAGTCTCTAATCGTGGCATAGGCGGTCCAACAGATGGGCGTCAAGTAGGCTAGACCAGCCACGATGAGGAGCACCCCTGCTATCCTGGCCAGCCGAGCTTTGGAGGCCTGGTTGCCGTCGCCCATGCAGTGGGTACTCTTGGCCCCAGCAAAACCGAGCATGACCGCCAGAACGCTGAGAAGCAGAGAAAGAACCGTCAGCGCTCGAGCTGCCTGGGCAGATGTCGGGAGGGCCAAGGTGGAGTCATAGGACTTGCACTGGATTTGGCCGGTGGTCTGATACAGGCAGTTCATCCACAGACCCTCCCACTGCACCTGGGCAATCACCAGCTCTCCCCCCACGAAGGCCGATATGCGCCACTGCGGAGCTGCACACACCAAAGCCCCACATGCCCAACCGAGCAGGGCCAGCACCAAACCCAGCACCTGGAGACCAGTTGATGCCATGGCTGATCCGGAAACCGTCTCCGTCAATAAGCGCAGAACCTCCTGACTCCAACCCTGTAGCTCTCACTAATAAACCTTTATCCACTTAATTGTTGGTCAGCCAGTCCGATCTTCAGCACCTATCCAACCATGGAGAAGAAATAGTTTTTTAGAAAGCATAGTTTATGGCAGTGTTTCTCAATTCCAGTCCTCAGTGATCTGCTGCACTGCATGTTTTAAAGAAATCGGGTGTCCAGAATACTCAATTCAAATGATTGCATGACCTCCTTTACATGCCATCAACTGCTACCGAAACCTGTAAGAAACACCAAAAACATGCATGGCAGTGTTCCCTGAGGAACAGAATTGAGAAACATTAGTTTTCTGCATATATTTTTCCAACAGTTTTCTCAAGACACGTTTTTTTAGATCATGAGATGATAGATGTGCGATGATTGGCGTGTGTGCTAAATTCGACTCCATTCTTGACAAGCATGCCGTGATTTCAAGAAAACAATCGTTGTTTTTTAGATTAAGATGACAAAACCGTTGGGGAAAAGTACATGCTGAAAACGTCAGCTCTGGGATTCCAAATAAAGTGACTTATGTTGGTCAAACTTACTTTAGTCAGAGGTCCACAGGCGTCTCGATGATCCCCTGTGCACTTCCACATCCACAGTCCCTCTGCAGAACAACAGATGTCAGAAGCAGTTCTTCTGTTTTGACAGGGCAACTTGTCTAACTGCGGCTCACACAGGGTTGCGTGGGCGCCCAAAAAAAAATGAAAGCCATTCCATGACAGCAGAAGGACACTAGGACACTTTGTTGAAGTTACGGCTGGCAGCAGCCATGCTGTCATCACATAAAGTTGGAGTGGGCTGTGAAAGGGGGAAACATGGAGGTCATTTAGAAGCTGTTGAACATGTGTTGATCCCAGTTAAATGTTTTTGTTGTTTAATGTTATATCATCTATATAGCGCCTTACAAAGTCATTTGTGCTGCTGAACTTTTCCACATTTTGTCAATTGTAAATTTCCGTTTTCAAATGCCATAATGGGATTTACGTGGCTGATCAATACAAAGTAGTGCATTGTTGCAGAGTGGGAGAAAAAGCGTAATTGGCTTTAATTTGTTTCTGAACTAAAAATAAAGAAAACGTGGTGTTTTATTTAATACCCTTTGCTCTGATACCACATAATATGAGTTACTTTTATGTAATTTAATTTCATTATAAATCTACTTGCTCTGAGGTTTTTAGAGAACATTAGTGAACAAACACAAAGACAAAAAACAAAGGTAAGGCGTAGATTTAAAACAGCGGAAATGATGCAAAACAACAGCCCACCCGTCAACAATCTGCAGAGCACTGTTCAATCCATCATCTGTTGGACGAGTGTGCAGTAAACCTTGACATCTAGATGGGCCTGGAATGAAGAGGATCAATCAGAGAAGAGCAGCTAAGTGAATAATTTTAACTCCGGAGGGTCGCTTTTCATTGTTTGTCTATCCCATAAAATCCCAATTAAATAAATCCTAAGTTTCAGTTGTAACCTCAGAAAATGTCAAATGTGAGAATACTGTTGCGATGCACTGTAAATGGAAGTTTGATTTATTTTAGGTAAATACTATTCACATCATTGTTGCCACTTGGTGGCGATAGAGACGTTTCCAACTTTTCTACATTCTTTGTTTAATTCCCTTTGAAGAAGATCTCAAATGATTCCCCCATCATTTTGTTGATCCCTTTTCCCTCCCGTCCTTAAACGGCTGTTTTGGTGTGAAGAATAAAAAGGTTAAATTTCTCAAAATAGCATTTCTTTCCAATTCAAAATCAAATGATTTTAATTGTGTTTTCATTAAAGCTCACAGTGTTTTAAGGAAAGAAAAACATCTTTTGAAAAAATGCTATTTCAACAAAATCAGAGTTTTGTTGACGATCTTGACAAGGTCATGTAAATATCCCAAGAAAGGATCATAATGCATGTTTTGAAGGAGGGAGGTTTATAGAGCAGACGGAAAGTAAAACAAACATGATCAGGCTGCATGAACATGAACAGAAGACAACAAATTACTCTGGTGTCCTTGAGATTAAAACAAAATTCCCTGTAAGGCAGCACCTAGTTATCTGGAACCTCCCACCTGATTACAGCATACTTTCTGATTTACTTTCACTCTACTAAAGGTTGATTTGTGCCTAATAAAGTCACACTGGTTGACTTGGAAGATAAAACTAAGACACAAACAAAGCAGAGGCATATCATTTCTTTGTATTCTCATGATGTGAAAATGCTGATATGGTGCTCAGATTGCATAAGGATTAATCACCAGAAACTAGTGAATGTTAAAGTTGCTGAACTTATGAAAGCATAATATGAGAGCTGCATCTTTCCAAGAAAGTTTTTAAAAGGCAACTTTATGCTTATCATCACTGGACAGTGGATTCAAAGGTCTATTGAGATTAAGACAGATTAAGAAGAGGTTTGAGCAATTGCTCTTTTTATTTGGCCAGGGGCTGAACCCTTTGTTATCAGCTGTTCACGTGTGTGGCGCACAGAACTGTTTTATTTTACTGGAAGGCTGCAGAAAATCAGACAGCTGGAACTGCAGGAAGTTAGAGCCATTTTTGCTGTTTTAAGTCAGATTTGATCTAGATTTGTTTTTCTTTTAGTTTTGCCTTCTGCAAACATGGATTCAACCTCAACTAAAGGTTAGTATTTCTTCTTTTAAAGACATGGCTTATTCATGCTCAGTAAAACATATCGTGACCTCAATCTAAATCAAACTTTGACTTTTCATTTCTCGACACATTTTGTTTTGTCCTGTCAAAGACCTGAGAATCATCCTCCTGGGAAAAACCGGATCTGGTAAAAGTGCAACAGGGAATACCATCCTGAAAAGGGACGCTTTTATTGCAGACATGTCTCCTGCCTCTGTGACTAAAGTATGCCAAAAAGAAACCGTCCACCTGGATGACCGAACAGTGAGTATCATTGACACTCCTGGGTTGTTTGACACATCAATTCCTGAGAAAGAACTAAAGAGAGAAATAGAGAACTGCATCATGCTGTCTCTCCCTGGACCACATATATTTCTGCTAGTCATCAGTCCATCTGCACGCTTCACTGTGGAGGTGGAAAAAGCCATCAACTGGATCACAGACAACTTCGGCGAGGAAGTCTCGAAGTACACAATCGTTTTCACTTGGGGAGATCAGCTCAAAGACACCATCGAGAACTATTTGAGCAAAAGCCCTGAACTGAGGAAGCTGACCAGTGACTGTAAAGCTGGATATGTTGTGTTTGACAATACGTGCAAAGGAAATCGCACTCAAGTGGCTGATCTGTTCGAGAGCATAGACAAGGCGGTCCAGTTGAACGGAGGTCATTATACCAGCGAGATTTACAAAAAGGCCCAGAATAAACTATGGTGGAACCAGGCCAGCGGCTATGTGGGAACTGCAGGAGATTATTTATTGTGTGCAGCAGCAGGCGCAGCTGGACCTGCTGTTGGTGGCGCTCTGGTGGCAGAGGAAGCCGCAGCTGTAGCTATACTACCACAAGTGTTGGCTCTTGGAGGTGCAGCGATCGTTAAAGGTATTGGATGGTTCATCAGACCTAGAACAGGCAATAACTAAAGTAATTCAGAAAGTAACTGGATTATAGTCATACATGTAGTGCTTTTACACTTATGCACTCACTTCACTGTGCAAATCTTACTTTGTTTAATACTTTGATAGTAACAAATTAGGATTATTTTAATTTCAATATTGTATTCATTATGTTATCTATGTGGTTCTGATTTTCAAATGTTGTGATTTATGCCACATATTGAAGACATATCTCCATCTCGATTGTGATGGACAATAACACTATCTATCTTATTACTGTAATAATGTATAAATTAAAGGACAAAACATCTTTGACTTTCATATACAAGATACTGCTGCATAGACTAGATCTAATTCCAAACATTCATTAAAATCATTTATTTATTTAGTTTTGTCCTAAAGGACAGAAAGCTGTACAAAAACAAATTCTCCTCCGATAGGTGTGCTCTTTCAGGAATATTGTGAAACCTGTCATATCACAGAGTTAATAAATTTTCCTGACAGAGAAACACTTCATGTTTTGTCCATGGCTAATTATCAGTAGCCAGGAAAATATCATATTTCCAGTCAGGCCAGGTGACAACCTTGTCTGTCCTGTATTATTACAACACAGTCAAAGTTGTCTGGACAAGCTGATCTTGAGATGAGTCTTGACCGATGGCCAATGAACAACAGACCAGAATTTAATGTAGAAGCGATGTGTGAATGTCGTTAGACAGGAGTCACATGGTCATTGTGTTTTGATGTCACACAGTGACTGTTTCTACTGGACCTTGAGGAACTACTATCATAAAGAGGAAGAGGAGACAGTTGCATGCATATTGCTGTAAATAAACATATGTGATATCGCTTTTGTTTGCTTTTCTTTCACATTTATCAAATGTTTTATCATTAATTCAACCCAGGATTATTGTTGCAAACATTAAAGTTTTAAATAATCGGTGTATAATTATCCATCCCCTAAACCTGCTTCTTCCAGCAGGATCACTGATTCCTATTTCCAGCAGTAAGTGGACAAGAAGTGGGTAAATCCTGGACAGGTCATCAGTCCATCACAGTGCGACACAGAGACATGTTCTTAAACTGTGACAGGAAGCTGGAGAACCCAGAAAGAAAAAAAGTCTGTACTGAAAGACCCAGGCTAGGATTCAGATACAGGACCATCTTATTGTGAGGCAACAAAAAGTAATTTAAATTATTACTCACATGTCCATATATTGTCATTGGTGACACATTCTGTGATTCACCTTTTGGTTTTCAGTTTTGTGCGAATCAGATAACGACTAACAGTTAATCTGTTAATTCTTTAAACTTCTTGTTGTTAGAATCCAGAGGTGAAACGCCACAGAAAACCAAAACACAAAACTGAAGCTGGTAAAACAGCCTGATCTGTACATGTGATCTAATACACAAAATGCATGTTTATGTGCATATTATTATTATTATTATTTTAGTATTCTTCCATCTAGTGCATATATTGCCCATTTTAACTCTCTTCCCTCCTGGTACTTTTTGCTACAAGCTGAGACAGAAAGAGAGGGAAACAAACTGTTTATGATTTGTTTCAGAGGCTTCCACAAAAAAAAAAAAAACTACCAAGAGGATTTTCCCTTCATTGTTTTACATTTCCTTTGCGCTTGTAAGTTGCTAATAATACAGCACAGGAAACAGCGGCAGGTCATAGTTTAATTAAGGAGCAACAGATCACCTGCACAGAAAATCAACAAGAAGTCTGAAAGTGTAAAATTAAGAATCAATTATGTGGTTTGTATAAATCAAATGAAAAAGAGAAAACAATTCAGACAAACAAAGAGCTTGCAGGTTATATCATCAATTGTCATGTAGTTCAAGTTCTGATTTTATCAAAAGTTTTATAACTTTATAAGCTGTACTGCATCAAAGGACAAAATGTATTTGGTTTTCAGTTTCTTTCAAGAATAGTATTATGTCCGTAACAGATCATTTTGGTACACCTTTGCTGTCCAGATCTGCAGGTAAGGTCAAATATGATCCACTTGTGGGTCATTTCAGGGCTGTAAGCTGAAGAGGTTTGTTTAAAAGTGTAAAAGTGAATTTAATAGTTAAATTAATTTGCTGAAAAACACTGCCTTCCTGATCATTTTAAATCACATGTCAAACTCATGGCTGGTGGGACACATCTGGCCTGCCGTAACTATTTATGTGCCTTCAAGATAACGGTTGTGTGCTAAAATATTATTCTATCAATCGAATCAAAAGGGTTTTATCTGTATACCGCCTAGTTACATCACTGTGAAAAAATGCAATCTAAGTTGAAGAAGTACTCATCAAAGACACAACTATTTATTGATATTTTAACAGTTTATTAGAGGGTAGTTTTTGATTTTATTTTTTCAGTACATTCTGCCACAATTGGCCCTTTGAGAAGATTTGTGGTCTTGACATGACCCCAAATAAAAATGAGTTTGACACCCCTGACCTAAATAATATTTCTAATTTAAATTCATTTTCCAGTCAGGCTTTACTTTGTTCATTTGAGAAGCATTTTCTGAAAACCAGAAAAGGTTTGACCTACATACCAATATGAGCTCACTTTGTGGAAGATATTCTGCCTCCGATCTTTATTGGTAATATTACTACCGACAGATATGATTTTTTTGTGTCAGTTACACCGGGCTGTTTTTCTTCGCTTTGCATTTTATTCCTTTCCAAACCCAAATGGCAGCTAAACCACATAAAACCCCCAGGACGAGGGTCGGAGCCCCTAGAGCCAGCGCCACGGTGGTGTTCGCCCCCACGGCGATGACAACGCCGGCTAACACCAACACCACCGCAGCAGCCGAGGCCACGCGGATGTTCTTCCTCCGAACTTGCTTCTTCTTCTCTCGCTCCTTTTGCTGCTTCTCCCTCTCCTCGTCCCAAACCTTCCTCTCTTCTTCCTTCTTCTCCTTCTCTTCCTGCCTCCTGCGCTCCTCCTCCTCTCTTAGCTTCCTCTGGGCTTTCTCATACATCTCGTTCGTGTAGTGCTTCCCTCCGTTGTCTTGTACCATTTCCCCGATCATGTTGATGAGCTCTGTGACCTGCACGCGGTCATCTGCGTCGTTGTTGTTGAAGGCGTGGTACCTGCGCCCAAACGTGATCGAAAGTCTCCGGAGCTCCTTGCACTCCTTCAGGGCATTGTCTGCTTTGCCTTGATCCTTGCAGGTAAACAGCATGATGGTGTACATGGAGGCGTCGTCGCCAAAGTTTTCCTGGATCCACTTCACGGCGTTCCTCTCCTCCTCGGTGAACCGGACTCCGAGCCTGATCACCAGAAGGAAAGCGTGAGGCCCAGGAACCGACATCTTGACGCACTCTTCTATCCTGGACTTCAGTTCCTGCTCTGTGATTCCTGTGTCAAACAGGCCCGGAGTGTCGATCACTTGGACTGGGATCCCGTCCACCTCTCCGCTCTGTGTCTCGCAGTGCTTGGTCACCGAGACCGGGCTCGGATCTTCTTTGAAGGCAGCTCTGCCGAGGATAGTGTTTCCTGTGGCACTCTTCCCTGATCCAGTCTTTCCGACCAGGACGATCCTTAACCCTCCAGACAAATCCAAAGCTGTGGATGAAAATCAGCGTTAATACTTTGCACGAAAAACATGTTAAATGGCTGAAATGAGGATGGTAGTTTTGTGCTATTTCAGTAGAACATCAATAGAGTAAACTCTTTTTTGTTTTGCCAGTAGCAGAAGCTAAGGAGCTGAATACTGGATTTCTTACAAGGCTGCACATTTATATTTTGATGAATGTCTTTATGCTCAAACCAAATTGACACAAGCCAGCCAAAGCAAGGACACAAAGTACAAGAAAGCAAACATAACAGACCCAATGCCAGCCTGACACATAGAGCATTTTGGTATACTGGTTTCCAACAGACTTAGTAAGAACAGATACTAAAGTGATGCTTCTAACATTTGAAAGTTAATAGACTTGGACCAACATATTTTGTTAGAGAATGCCAGAGTTAATTTTCTCTGACTGTTTTCATCGTTTTAACGTAAATTTTTATCTTTTGAGTGTTTTTGCGTCACGTCTTCAAACGCCTTTGTTTTTGGTTGCTCTTTTGTATCCTCAACGCTCCCTGACCTTTTGACATCACCAGCTGCAGGAAATGGGAAGTAACAGAGGGACACACATCAAGTGGACTTTGACTTGAGTTACAAGTTTTACTCTATTTTTTTTTTTTATCTCATTAAAGTATTTTAGTTTTTTTCTGTTAGTAAATTTAGGCACCAAATGTATGTGCATGGTTTCTACTACTGGATTAAGTTTTCAAAATTGAAATCCTTCTTATATGTTTGTTTTGTAATTTCACATCCTGCTGCTTTTCAATTGCTTATTTTTTATACTGTCATAATTGAGGCTGTAGTACAAGCTTAAAACAAAACTGCTGCTGCTGCTGCTGCTTGTCAATTGTGCAAGACAACACTGGCACAATACAAAAAAAATAAGACATAAACAAACAATCCATGCAGAAATATTGTTTTGAATTTTTTCTGAATTACATATTGTCTATTTTAAATTATTTTTTCAACATATGTGTTTTTAACTAAAGCTTAATGTTATTTTTATTTGATTACAATTAGAAATTTATCCAAATGACTGTGTTAGATTTATATTCCTTGCCTTAAGTATGTAAGCAAAAAGTACAAGAATATTTCTGATAAATTAAAAAAAAAAATACACTCATACATTTTTGTTCATAATTTAAAGTCATTTCAATTTATACAGAAAAAACAAAACTCAGCTGCTTCATGTCAAAGTCATCAAATTACAGCAGTAAACACTATTTTTTTGTGTATCATTGGAGACTAAACATCAGAAAAAAGGAATTTCTCACAACATGTCAGTAGAAACATAACAGGTCAAAGCTGAAAAAGTACATTAGCAATCATAAGAAACGCTTAAGAATTAAACTTTAATAAAAGTATGTGTAATTACTAGAATTTAACGAGATTTTTCAGAAAGTAAAGTTTGAGGGAGCGTACCGTCGAAGTTAAAGAGACCACACCCATCAGACCGAGGCAAAGTTCTCGGCTTCTTCTCTCTGAGTTGTATTTCTAGGACAAATGACCAATGAGATAAAAACAAATAAATCATTAGTGAAAGCAATCTTTGTAATGAAGCAATACATTTCTTTCTGTGATCCTTTTGAGTTTTCTTTCTCCCAGTGTAACACTCTGATCCTGGTCAAAAGCTCCATAATGGTGACTCGAACAAAATCTGAGGTTTTTTCTCTTACCTTCAGCCATCGCTTTGGATCCACCTTTTCCTCGTCCCGGGTGACCGAGTTTGTTCCAGCAGATCTGAAGTATTGCTTAAGAATTTGCTCTAAAGCTTCACATTGGCGTTCAGGGAGACTACTGGAAGTCTTGGCTTTGTGCTGGGAGCTTCCCATTTCCTTCCATTGTCATCGGGCTGCATCTGAATATGAGAAAGCTTGCAGAACGCGTCTGTTGCTTTCTGAATGCACCGAATGTGATCACGTGAAGGTTTGACCGCAGTGTTTTGCTAATGTGCAAAAGAAACACGGATTTAATCAAGTTATTTAATAACATTAGGTTTTCTCGCAGTTTTTGTTTGGTAAGATCTGTTGAAGAGGCGATGGGGGGGAGAGTCAGTCTCCAGGTCGCATCACATCCCTCCATTGTTGACGCCTCCACCAATCAGAATCTAGTAATGTTTACTTTGAAAATCCAGATTTTTCACAACACATAACTCAAGCTTTTCAGTTCATTCACCCTTCAGGGTGTCTGATAAACTAGACCGGTAACGTGACAGGAAATGTTGAGGATCTCGGCAATAAACACATGACATTTCTCACTTCCTGGTCCCTAAAAGAGCAATTGTTCAACGGAGCTTACATCATCCTGAAGTGTTTCCTTTCATCAAGTCAGACATCTAAGGGTTGTTGAATGGAAACAAGAAGCTGTCAGTAATGGGTTTGAGACACATATGTAGTTCTTGGGTTTTCCTTACAGAATTCTCACCTTTAGGCATTGTTGAGTTTAGGCTTCGGTTGCACTACTTACGTTTTTTTTTGCTTTTAATCATAATTTATTTCTTTATTCAAAAATGCTTGTCTTTGTGGTGTTTGGATTTCAAACCACAAATTATATAATACATTTGTTGTGCTAGAAGTTAGTGACAAAGTTTAATTTAAGTACATCGAAATTCCAAATTACATTACATGTTCAAGGCTGTTGTTACCACCAGGGTTGGGGACTCAGGTGTAAAATGATCGGAAGCCAGTTCCTGTTAGACTCACCTGGATGGACGCAGGTGAGCCAATCTGCAGCTAAATGTAACCTGATGTCTGTTCTTTAGGTTTTGACTTGTTTGCTCTTGTTGCTTAAAATGAACTCAGCAGAAATGTTTCACACAAACTTAAACCGTGTTTCAAGAAGCGTTTATTCAAACAGAGGTTTGCATTACACAAAATCCAGCAAAATTAGACAAATCCTTTCAAAGCTTTCAAAACAAAGCAACCGCCCCATGCAACTTTCTGATTAAACCTATAAAACGTAGAAGAAACAAACCCTTCAAACAAAACAGAAGGAAATTGAAGTAAAACAAATTTTACAGTTTTAATCTTGAGACATTTTTATGCAAGAAAATTATTTTGAACAGAAAGTTAAATTAAAACCACTTGATGGCCTCATCCTCTGATGGTGTTTAAATGGAAAAGTGACATAAATATGAAGAGAAGTTACACAATTTTTACTATTTGCACTTAATTACAGTTATTAAAAGTGACATATTTTCATTTTGTTGGTCACTTACAGATTTAGTTTTAATTTTGAGGTTTGGAAATTGTTAAACAGACATGATTCTCAATTTCACACATGCAATGCTATATTTTTAACTTTTGATCTGTGATTGTATAATTGTCATGTATTTTACTTATCCTTAATTGCACCTTGTGCAGCACCAGCTGTTGGAAATGTGCTTCATAAATAAGTTTAACGTTGACGCTGTTTTACTCATAGAGGCAACAGCAAAAGGTTACAATTAGACTTTTCAGATGAAAAAGTAATACATTTAAATAAAACATCAATAAAACAACAGTTTTTGTTACGACAGACATTTTTCAGACCTGCTGTTGGACAAATTAAATGTAAATAAATGTCTGCAGAAAGCGTAAACTGTGCATGAGTTGTATCAGGAAACAAGAGCAGAGCTTTGTTATGCTGATGATTTCAGATTTCAATTGCCAAAATAAAAACCAAACAATCACAATATGAAGAATCAGAGAACCAAAATACAAAACCTAAACTGAGATTGACAAAAGATTGGATTCTGGGTCTTTGTTTTCTGTAGAAGATATTTAGACATTGTCACCAGTGTATTCATCCATTCATGGTTGTGATTTGTCGGTTCATTTTGTCACATTTCTCACTGATTTAAGGAAACACATTCTCAAAAAGTTCACAGTCTTCAACGACAAAACCAACAACCTTTCCCATTGCTGTAAAGTACTTATTTTTTACAAACTTCATTCCTTTGGAAAACATTTTTAATACTCTACACCATAAATGAAGTTTTTTCTTCCTCTCCTTCTGGTTTCTTGCCTCCTGTTTATCTTCTTCACACTTAGATTTACACCCATGCCCCTCTGCCTTTTTTGTTTTTTTGTATTCCTCGAACCATGCCCTTAACTCTTCCTCCTCTTCCAGTTCTCTCTGGGCTTTTCTGTACATACGATTGGTGTAATGCTCTCCCCCATTTATTTCAACCATCTCATCTATTTTATCCAGAAGTTCTGTGACCTGCTTTCTGTCTGAACTCTGCCCATTGATTAACGAGTGGTATCTTCCTCCACACTGCTGTATTAGAGTTTGTAGGTCTTTGCTTTCTGCCACATAGTCCTCAACAGATTTACCTCTGAGCAAATCAGCATGAGTGAACAGGACTATGGTGTACGCAGCAGCAGCAGAGCCAAAGTTATCCTGGATCCACTTCACAGTGTCCTTTTCCTCTTTCGTGAATCTCGACTTTAAGCTTATCACTAACAGAAACGCATGAGGCCCAGGAACTGACAGCTCAACACACTCCTCAATCTTTTCTTTGATTTGTACTTGTGTTTTATCTGTGTCAAATATTCCCGGGGAGTCGACCACCACGAGGTTCTCGTCTCCTTCCAGTCGCTCTCGTCTCTCGCAGGTTTTCGTCACCGATTCAGCCGAGGCGTCTCTAAAGACAGAGTGGCCCAAGATGGTGTTTCCTGATGCACTCTTTCCAGAGCCAGTTTTTCCAACCAAAAAGAGAGTCCGCTGCCTTGAAAAGCCTGAGAAAAAGATTCAGAAAATTCTCAATGTTGGCCATGTTATAAGCTTCTACAGTTTTAACCAAATATATGAACAATAGCTGCATACATTTTTAGTAGTGCATATCATCTTACAAAGCAAATAGTATTTTTAATCTTAAAAATAGTATTTGGGAAAATAGTACTTTTGTATGTAAATGTATCTTCCAATGGAAAACCTACTTTTTCACCAAAATTAAGGAATTATTTACTTAAAACAAACCCCTGTGTCTTTCAAACTTGTAAGTTAGGTTTGACTTATTTCAAGTGTAATGAGATGTTTGCACTAAAACCGAGACTAAAAAAACTTGGTAAGGCTTTGTGATTTTGCAATGCACACATTTGAACTAATAAAGGCTGGAAATATTTCACTATGCATGTGATTAATCAATAAAATCTATAAGCTTCTCAAAGCCATAATTTCACAATTTTAATTTTCTTTTTTGATGTACAGTGCTCTTAGTGAAAAGGCCAATTCTGCATTTGTTGATAAAAAATGTTTTTTGAACATCAAAATTCAAAAGAAGATCTTGACCAGGCCATTTTTTTCTCATGTTTACGCCTTTCCTTTGAGGCGTTCGCTTCCTTGTGTGAAGGAATGAAGTTTTGACGTCACTTTAAAAGTGTGGTGCTGTTGTTTGTCTCCTACCATATGTTAAAATCCTTCTTCATTTTGTGCAGGTTAAGCTTAGTGTGCTGGGCTGTGATGTATGTGAGTCTCATACCTGTGCTGTGAGATTGGCAGCGAGTCATGAGTTCACACAATACGAACACCACAAGGTGGCGCCAAACTCGTCTCCAAGCCTTCTGGGCCAACATCATTGGATCACCGGCTTCTATCAAAAAACAAATAAATAAAACTTTGCGTTTCAAATAGAGAGTTTAATTAGACATTTGAACCGTGTTGAAGTTTCAGAACTATTTTTATGTCTGTATATAAAAAAAAGAGACGTTATGTTTTTTGTTGTTTTCATGAGGTTGTTTAACGATGTAATGGGCTGTTCTCTTGACTAGGAAACTGAAACCATCTATCACTTCTGTCCACCTTCTTGCCCAGGTTGTGTAAAAACTAAAACAATATTTCTACTGCCAGGCATACCAGTGGGACTGCAATCCAGCACACCCATTCGGCTTATGTACATCGATAATACTACGAAATAAGAAGTTACACTTTCTGCCTTTTGGTTAAAGTCACGAATATTTACTGAAATGCTAAGAAAAAACTGTTTTTATCAAATGCAAAAAAAAGGTTAAATCAGGATCGCAAGTTGTCAAAACATGCAGGTTACCTGTCCAGATCAAGTACAGTTAACACCACTGTTTTACCATCCGCTAAAACATGTACAAGCCCCTTTGACTAAAATTTAAATTGTGACCAGCTGCAGACAAACAGTAAAATCCCAACCTTTCTTCATTTGCTTCACCAGTTAAAGTGTCTTTACATTCATAATACTAGTTCCTTATCCATGTTCCTCCACCATGAAGTATGTTCCCTCCTGCCATTTGGTCTATTTAGCAAAACTGATTAGAAAGCTGAGAATATCATGTAGCTCACCACAACAGGCTTCAGTGGCTTCGGGTCTCTCAACCAAAGAGACATGAAAAGCTGTTTCACTTTACACACTACACCGTGGAATCAAAACTGAAACTTAACATTCCTTGTGACTACGGTCTCTGCCCCCTGGGCAATTACTTTGACTGCTCACATTAAGATGAAAATAATTAACCCCTCCACCTACCATATTGTCGTTCTCTGGAAATCCCCACTATTATTTGTAGTTTGATCACCAACACCAACTGCTTAGTTTGCATATAAGCGGCAGCTATGCAAACTAAGCAAGCAAACAAAGCAAACTAAGCAGTTTCCTTAATTAGTTAGTTTGCTTATGCACACTAAGCAGTTTGCTTAGGGCCCCAGGGCCATCAAGGGGTCCCCTCAGTGGAACTGATATATATATATATTTTTAGTAATGCTTTCTATGTTATTATAATAACAAAAACATACAATTTCAGCATGAATAAATTTGTTTGTACAATAATATATATTTGATAATGTATGTGGACATCATTATTTTAAATTGCTCTCGGGGTCGTCCTGGCGCCTGGTTGTCGCTTCGCCGGTAAACTGAGCTGCCGTGTGCAGAGCACATCCAAAAGGCCAAAGCTCCAGAAGAGGATAAGTTAGCAAAACTATGTTTCAAAAAAGCATTTATCCCTTAGGGAGAAAGAAAAGACGAAGAATAGAAAAAAAGCCAAAATAATGGTTTGTTTTAATGTGTCTTTGTGATGTACTGTTAATTAAAAAAAGGATTTGTGAAGCTGCTTATTGAACGGTCCAGTTCAACGGCCAAACATTTATTTCCCAACATAGAATAAACAATACATTGTTACATATCACATTTCAAATGCAATTCTAAACAGGTGTGTTAAGTATTGTTCCCCCCGTATAGGATCAAATTCAATCTGAAATGAAATCAGAAAATGATTAAATTAAAAGAAATTGTGAAAAGCATATTCAAGTAAGCATTTATTAAAAGAAAAACCGTTGAATTAAATGAAATGCAACTCCAAATTTTTAAAACAGGAATTGTTCTTTCAGATCAAACCCTTAACACGAAAGATTAAAAAAAAAAAAATCTTGAAACAAAACTAAGAAACTTCAAGAAAAGTCAATCCTTTTGAATGGAAAGTTCAAATAGAGCCACTTGATTACAATTAGAATGTTTTTTTCATCACAATATCTTAAAATGATTAACTGAAGGAAAACACAAAGGTTACATACAGTCAGTCCTGACTCTTTTTTTTTGCATTTTCACATAATTACGATTAAGTCAGGCATGATCAAAAAGAGATGTACCAAATCTGTCTTTAAGTTGTTGAACTTGTGTTTCTGTGAGGAAAATAAATCTCTACAGCAGAGCTTCAACTGTGCATCACTTATAAGAGCAGTAACGTGTTATGTTAACAAAAAAAGTGTTCACATGCACAAAATAGTAAGAAAATCCAAGGTGAAAATCCAAACAAAGCCTGAATTATTCAGATATAGAAAATAAAAGTCCCAGGATTTGATTTCCTTGTTTTCTGTAGATTAGGAACTGTTGGCTACCAGTGTACTGACTAAATAGTTCGATCATTGTTGTGCCTCGTAGTGATATGTTGTCTCATTTTGTTACAGTTCCTAGTCCTTCAAATAGTTAACAACTTCACATTTGTCTACAAAAAGATCAAGTGCAATGTCTGCTGCAAGAATGTAGGGATTTCCATAAAGAAGCACAAGTAATTTGGAACCAATATTTACTGCATTACACCAAAAAAGATTGTTTTTCTTGCTCTCTCTCTTCTGTCTTTCCTCTCGTTCCTCTTCTTCACACCTTTTATTTTCTGCCTTTATCCTCTCATATTCCTGCCTCCATGCCCTTAACTCTTCCTCCTGCAGTTCTCTCTGGGCTTTTCTGTACATACGATTGGTGTAATGCTCTCCCCCATTTATTTCAACCATCTCATCTACTTTATCCAGAAGTTCTGTGACCTGCTTTCTGTCTAAACTCTGCCCATTGATTAACGAGTGGTATCTTCCTCCACACTGCTGTATTAGAGTTTGTAGGTCTTTGCTTTCTGCCACATAGTCCTCAACAGATTTACCTTTGAGCAAATCAGCATGAGTGAACAGGACTATGGTGTACGCAGCAGCAGCAGAGCCAAAGTTATCCTGGATCCACTTCACAGTGTCCTTTTCCTCTTTCGTGAATCTCGACTTTAAGTTCATCACTAACAGAAACGCATGAGGCCCAGGAACTGACAGCTTAACACACTCCTCAATCTTTTCTTTGATTTGTACTTGTGTTTTATCTGTGTCAAATATTCCCGGGGAGTCGACCACCACGAGGTTCTCGTCTCCTTCCAGTCGCTCTCGTCTCTCGCAGGTTTTCGTCACCGATTCAGCCGAGGCGTCCTCTCTAAAGACAGAGTGGCCCAAGATGGTGTTTCCTGATGCACTCTTTCCAGAGCCAGTTTTTCCAACCAAAAAGAGAGTCCGCTGCCTTGAAAAGCCTGAGAAAAAAATTCAGAAAATTCTCCAGTTTGTCAGTGTTACAGAATGCTTTTCAGCTATTTATGTAAACAACATCTGTACAGGCAATTTACTTCACATCCTAAAATATGCTAGCAAAACATATTTTCACAATATAATTGTTTTAGATTAACATGTACATTACTTATTCTGCATCAGCAGTTGTTATGTTAATGGTTTTGACATCAAAATTCAAACGAAGGCCATGGCTTTTTTTTTTCTTGCAATTTTTTTTAATCCATGTAAAGAAATGAAGTTTAGAGATTACTTTAAACAACTGGTTTAATCATTTGTCTCTTACTGTGTATTGTAATACTGTTGTATTCTGTGCAGGTTGAACACAGCGTGTTATTTTAATCTCACCTTTGCTTTGAGGCTGGCAGTGAGCCATGAGTCCACATAATGCAAGCACCAAAAGGTGGAGCCAAGCTCGGTTCCAAGCCTTCCCGTTCAACATCACAGGATCACCAGTTTCTGTCAAAACACAGTTATATAAAATTAGAAATTGAACACAATCGCAATTTCATTAGGCCTTTGAAAATTGATGACATAGCAAAACACTCTTCAGGCTTGCATTAAAAAGGACACATCATGGGCTGTACTGGGAAACTGAAACAATCCAGCACTGGTGTTCCCTGATCGGTAAGACACATGTATGAAATAAACAGACAACATCTCTCCAATATAAGGGTTTGCCAACAAAAATTATTTACATTTAAATACTTCGATTAACAAACTCATTAAGTTTGCTGGATGTTTGCATTCTTGCTCAGGTGTATAAAATTAAAATCCAGATGTGTTACATCCAGATGCAGCGTCTGTGTTGCAGTTCAAGACAAATATGAAACCCTTTTCTACAGACACTGTAGACATTGTAAACGGTGACCAGCTGCAGAAAATCAGTAAAGTCTTTGATTTTTCTAAACTTTCTTGTATCTTCTTATCCGGTCTGAGTGTCTCTCCTCGCATAATATTTGTTCCTCATCAGTTTCCCTCCACCATAAACAAGACATCAAAATGTGTTCCAACCTACCACTCAGTCTATTTAGCACAAATGAATAAAAAGCTGAGAATTTCAAATAGCTTACCACGACAGGCTTCAGTGATTTCAGATCTGAAGTGCCCCAAACTAAAGCAAAGAGAAATGAAACTTATTACACCAAACCTGCTCGATCTTGCGAAAGCAAAACTGAAACTTAACATTCCAGGTCACCACCGTGCTTATAAGCCAGATAAAGACAAGAAATCTTGGTCTCCACAATTGTACTGCTTTTCAATTAAAACTTGAGATTTATCTGAGAACGTTGCAGCAATTTTTGTCAGTGATGTACATGAAAACCTGAGTAGAACCTATATTTTCTGTTTTTCTAAGAAAAGCTTCCTGCAGACCTTGAGTGACAGTCACCTGGTCCATTCAGCCGTTTCCTCAATTATGGTTTGAGGAGAAATTTGGACACATTCTTTTTTTTTTTTTTTTTTTTTTTTTAAAGGACTATATCAGCCTATTTAGATTGCTCTTTACCTTTTATCCTCCTGTTTTCTTCCCAAATTATTTCACTGCAACACAATAATTAATTTCACTGTGTTCTGGTTCACTGCAACAGAGCTGCTGGTAGATATTTCCTGCAATGTGCGCAAAGTTTTGAAGCAAGAAATGAAAATGAAGAAACCAGACATTTTAACTCGTGAGGAAACAGAGAAAAGCCTCAACCAGCTTCCAGCATGCAACTTTGTGAGCACGCATTGCCCTCTAGTGGTTGTGAAGAGGCATAGCCACTTCTCAGCCCAAAAATCCCATAAAGTCCTAATGGGATTTTATTATTATTATTATTTTCCCATTTTGCCTGCATGTTTCTTTGACATATTTCTTTTTAAATCTGAAAATGTGGAATATGATGACTGTTTTGTTTTTTTTGTATTTTAAAGAATGCTGAAACTGGTTCAAATCTGTGCTATTGTGTATGTAAAAGCCAAGAATATCCTGATTGCAGGAAGAGGCTCACAGTCAAACTATTGTACAAATAGACAAAGTAAAGGTTTTGTTAAAAGGTGAAAATTACTTGTTAAAATGTTAACACTTGTGATAGCAGGAAAAAGTGAACTATCTCTGTCTCCTGATCTTAATATCACTGAAACACTTTGGGAAGATCTCAAACATGCGACATATGAAGGCAACATTTTACAAGACCTGGAGGCTTTACAATAAAACATTAAAAACTATCTTATTGTTATAATGGTTCAGGGCAGTTATTGTTTGATAATAAATAGCTTAATTCAACCAATAACTAACGTAAGAAATGTTTTCTTTGTCTGTTTAAAAAAAAAAGATTAAATACGAACAAAAACAAAAAGAAATACTGCAGTCGTATGTAAACGTCTGAGCACAGCTGCAGTTGCGTGACAGAGCATTGCAGCCCAGATTTTATCTCTGCAGGAGGGTCTCACTGAGCTCCTGTGAATTACTGCCTGATTGTTGGTCTGTCAACAAACACGGCGTTAAAACACACAAGGTGCCGAATTGCTGACGTTTCCACCCCGTGGTTGAATTCATGGAAGCTCCTGAAAAGTCTTGATGACAACCAACCCAGCTGGAGAACAGGGTTTATTTTCTGTTCAGTTTCACTCTATTTGTATTTTAGCAGAAAAAATACGTGTCCTTGCCTTGATTGAAAGGTTACTTGAGACTCTGTGGAGACTCTTTAAGCTTATATGTTCTCTTTGCACGGTTTTTTACTCTGCTTTTGGACAACCTGAATGTTAGAGGAAATTACTGACATGAGATGAAAAAATATCACATGTAGCTGTATGGTGCATAAAATTATCTTTGGCAACTTTTCCCTCCTGTTCAAGATAAAATTATGTGTATCGTTTTTGTTTGACTTTAAAGAGATAACTGTCTGTGAAAGACTAAAATCATAAAATAAGTAGGTACAAATGACAATCAATCTACATTGTATTAAGGCATGTCTTCAGCTCTGTAGGTGAAATTATTTACCAAGGTGCATCATTTCTTGTTGTGGCAAAGAAAACTGAACTTTCATCAGCTGGAGGTCCTTATGGGACCCACTGGTCCTTATGGGATTCAAAGTCTGGGCTCCATTTGCTGAAGAGCTGTTTGGGGTTTAGAGGTTAGGACTCAGGTTGAGATAAGTTAAGTTTAGATTAGGTTTAGGGTTAGGCATGTACTGGTAATGGTTGGGTTCAGGGTGAGTCTGTGTGGGTGTGTGTTTCAAGGATAAAGAGAAGACAACAGGAATGTGAATCCTCTTCACGTGTAGGCAGGGGCATCTCTTCAAGTGCCTTCCTGTGAATGTGCTGGCAGTGATTGCTCAGACAAAGAGGGAGCCACTGCACGTGCAGGAAGGCTGTTTGGGCTTCAGTGAAATGAAAACGGCTGCAGTTTTCTGTAATTTAAACTTTACGCACGTGGCACCCTGCTGAAGAGAAGAAATCTCAACCTTGTTTGTTCCAGAGGCAGAAAAAAAAAGAAAAAATATGATTAATTATTAATCTTAGCCTTGCAGTTTATGTCCTGGTACATCGTTATGGATTGGAACGTTTTCAAATAGTTAATTTATTTCGGTAGATAAAATTTTAAGTGTAATGCATATATTGATTGCTTACACACAGAGAAAGATATAGTATATTACTAACAGAATGTTTATTAATTTAAATGGTCATAGCCTCCACCTAATGAAAACCCAAAACTCAGGTTTCAATAAACATTTAATGCCACAGTCAGAACTGCATCTATATGGGATACTTCAAGATGACATGGAGGTGATCGCCTGCTATTGAAAATACTGTGATACTGCAAAGTATGTCTAGAGGGCTTAGGTCGCGTGTATTTGCCCATAACATGGGCATTAAACCACATATTGCTACATATGTGCCACAACTGTGATGTCCTGCTCAGTATGGATCATGGGAGTTTTGTTTGAATGCTATTGGACTTTATATTTGATGGCTTTTTAATTGTGAACTATACTTACTGAATAGTGTCCGACTGTTTTTATGCATTCCTCATTTTAAAAAAAATAAAAAATACCCAGCTGGGTTGGGGACTCCATGTGGAAATTAGCACCAGAGCTACAACCTGGTAGCTCTGGTGC